TATTATTATTATTATTATATTACTATGACTATTACTATTATTATCATCATGATCATCATCATTATCGTCCTCATTATCATTATCATCATTATTATAATTATAATATTATTATTATTAATATTAATATTATCGTGCGTTAAAAAAAATTATTACAATGTTTGTTAACGTTATCGTATATTGCCGTAATGACTACCGAAAAATATAGTATTTTTTATATTATTCTTACGAAGAGAGAGAGCTTGGGGTTTCTCGAATTACGAGATAACTAAAACTAGAATGAAAGAAATTAATGTAAATGCGACCACTGTTGTAGTCGAGAGCGTGTTGTGTAAAAACAAATATGACAAAAATGATCTATAATAATATTAACGATTTTAGATCTAAAGTATACCCTTCTCTGGAAAAAGGAAAAAAAAGACAAAAGAAAAGAAAAGGACGACAAAAAAAAAATAAGAAAAAGAGTTAAAAGTAACACGGGAGGGGAATATCTCTTGAAATCTCGCGAATAGTTATTAGAAATGAATATTATTATTAAATTAGGCGAATAACAAAAAATTGGCGACGAAAAAGAAAAAGAAAAGGAAATGGAAAAAAGAAAAATGAAAATAAAAGAAATCGTTTGTAAGTATACTATATAATAATAGTAATTCGCATCACATTTGAGATGTTAAATAACGTTGTTTTACTTTTTGTGTTCATATAAAACGAATTCCATGATATATATCTATCGAATCATTTGATATTATGTTTGTGGGTTTTATTCTTGATTTTGTTCTACTTTGAAAATAATAATTCTCGTGTTTCTTTGACCTCGTATCTACTATTCTCGTATTCTTCCTTACTTTCTCTTTCTATCTTTCTTTATTTCTTTTTCTCACGCTATCACGTTAAATGAATTTCGGATTCGTAAACGCGTATATGAATAATTGATTTTACGCATCTAAAATCTTGGTTGTCCAACCTTGCCATAATTCGATCCGCATGCCCACGCGTTTTACGAACACACGTATACGAGACGTTACTTTCATATGCACGCAACCTAACCTAAAAACAACAAGAACAACAACAAAATTGCTATACTACCTACTCGAACAGAGAAAAAGAAAAAGAAATACTTCGACACACCCTTGCCCTACCTCATCCTTGTCCACCCCCTTAAAAATTTCCCCTTCAAATCCCTTTTTTTAAGAGCATAAAACCGATCTGTAGCGTGCGCGCGCGCGCGCGAGCGTATATACAATAACGCGCATGTATTTATTATGTATGTATAACTGTATTTTTGTATATCGAGAATTTTTTCTAATTATAAACTACCGTTTAAGCCGTTTTGACGAATAACGAGCTGAACCGAGCCGAGTTGAGTTAATTTAGCTGTTAATGAGAAAGTACCGTCTGCTTGCCATTTTGTCAGCTGATCACCTTGCGATTGGTCGTTATAATGCGCGTGACGGTGATTGGCTAGTTAGAAAAGGAATGTACGAGTGTACAACACGAAAACTCGACGTGACCAAGATTTCGCTGATATTTGTTATTATGACAATTAATTCTTTTTTCTCTCTCTCTTTGTATCTTTCTATCTTTATCTTTAATATCTCTCTCTCTCTCTCTCTCTCTTTTTATCCTTTTTCTCTTTAGCATGATTTTTATCGAATTTCTAATGAAAATTGTAGAAAGAAATATTTTCTATTGTCAAGTATAACTATATAAATCGAAAACAAAGTCAAATATATGTATATATATATATAGGGTGTGATCGGAATGAACGTATCAAACTGTAGAACTGTATTCAATTTTTGTTAACAAGTTTCTTTACCAGCATAACTAAATTCCTCGTAGAATTTGTTCTAATCTCATCGGGTGTCTTATTTTAAAAAATAAACTTTCAACGAGATGTCATAGTTGGTTACTAATTATTATTTTGCATTGTAAAATGATCAAAATATTGGATTAATATTACAAAGAATTAATCGAACGACAATAATAATTCGCAATTTTTCGAAATTATTTTTATATTTATGAAATATATTCCGAAATTTTTGGGCTGTTTTTTCTGATTCATTCCCATGTATATCTATATACATATATATATAATATACATCAAGTTAAATATCGCGAATGGTTAAATATTATTCGTAATACGATCTTTTTATCCTTGATGTTTATATCTTTGAACAAATTTCAAGTCATTTATCACGTATTTAATATTTACCAGCGACACCTTTTAGGTTCGACGAACGCGTTCCTCGTGGTTATTTCAACCCTTCAAATGTGAATCTCTTGCGTAATAATGAATCCGTCATTATAATTAACGGATTAATTAAATAATGAAATGTGAAAGGGGAACGAAATATTATAGAAAAAATAAATGTCGAAGGAAAATATTAATGAAAGGAACGCGTTCGATTGGGCAATCAACAAATGATCGCCGTGCCAAGAAAAAATAATCCGATCTTGTAATTATCAAACTCATATAGCCATTCATTATTATTATTATTATTATTAATATTATTATTACGAGGAACAAACAACAAAATATTTCTTATTATTAATTATTAAT